GATAGATTTAAAAATACATCATCACCAATTATGATGAATGTTGAATAGTAATGAACTAATGACTAATGAATAATAATGTAGATAGGTACATATTATTATGTTTTGCGGTGATCATGAAACCTATGTTTTTAGTAAAAGTAATAGAAAAACTACCAGATATGGTGAAACAAAATTGATGTTTAAAAAGTTAAATTCTTTCCTTTTGTAGTAAATAAGCGGTTTGGAAATTATAAGTACACAGTGACAGACAATAATACCAATTTAGGAATGTGATCGAGATGAATTTCTAATATTCTTATGGTATTTTAAGTAAGTTATAATATATATATTTAGTACATAACTGTACAAATTGTTTGCTTTTTTCTATAATTTGACCTTGGTGATTGTCGATTGATAAATGTTCTCCTTTTAGAAAATAAAAACTATTTAGGTACCTAGGTATTAATATTTTAAGTACTACAAAATAATTTTATCTATAAAAAACAATTATTTTTAATTTCAAAAATGAATTACATAAATGGTTTACATACTTACATATTAAAAGGAGTTTGGAATTACAATTCACACTTGTACGCCCTCAATTTGAAAATGTGCACACTCCCTCCCCCCCCAAAAAAAAAAAAATAATAATAATAAAAGCCTTTATAATTATAACTATAATATTTAAAGTATTTAAAAAAAAAAACAATACTTAACTAAAAATTAACTAAAAATTAACGATCTAGGTCTTCTCATTTTCTAATTAAAATCAGCTAGAATTAAAAGTTTAAAATGTTCTTAACAGAATAAAAATAATCGTGATGGCATTATTGATTTGGGTGATTAAATTCAATTAAATTTTTTGATCTCGACTCTAATTTACAATGCCTCCAAAAAAATTCTCAATTCCTGAAGAGGTCCTTCAAGAATATTAATATTGGTAATCTAGACTTTAATGTTTGCATCATTGATATTCAACAATTTTAACAGATTATCTTGTAAATGATGTTTTAACCAAACTTGAAATTTCTATTGCTCCATTATTTTTCAAGTTCCTTTGGGTTTTTTCTAGGTAAATTGTATATTATAATTCTTWGACTTGTTAGTTCTATATATTAATTACACCATAAATATTATATGAAATTATATACAGCTCCGTTTAAGATAAAATTATATTGCCCAAGGTACATATTTACTGCCCTAGTACCTATACAGGTGTTATTTATTATTATTATACAGCATCACGCCATCACTGATATCTYCCCCTTATTTTAAATGTTTAAAGATATGCAACATTATAAAATCATAATATATATAATTTACAATTTAATAAATAAGTATTAAAATTTCCAAAATGTGATACTCGAGGCTATTGCACCTTCTGCAACATAAACGCCATTCTATATACCTATAGAAATCCAACAACATTAATTTGCAGTGTCGTGTAACTAGCACACACATTCCATACTTAATAGTTACAAAAATAAAATAAATAATAATATTGTAAGTATTATCTGAAAAATTTTAAGTTAAAATAAACTGTGCAGCGGCGCAGATCGATCTTTCGGCCCATCGACCAAAGAATTTATCTTTTTAGAAACTGCAGGAGATATTGTAATAACGACATTAAATAATATATTAATAATGCCGTGTATCGCTCGGGAGAAAAAAAACGATCGATGGAACGATTTCGTAGGTCACAAACGAAAACAGAAAACATGGTATCTCGTCTGCGCGTATACGTCGTTTTTTCCGGACGAACCGCGATCGACGAGTAAAAAACCGCGTACAGACGCAGACGACGGACGTCGAGGGGACGTACCTCTGTGCATACCACAAACAACCTGAACGCACACAAACGAACTTATAATATTATTATTATTACCGTCGGCGCAGGCGAACCGGTACCTCTGGTACGCCTGTTGCCGCCAGAGTTGGGCAGGTACAGAACGCGACTCGATCGGTGTTCTCGGCCGAACAACATTATCTCTCTCTCTCTCTCTCTCTCTCTCTCTCACCACGTATATTGTATATAATATATTTGTATTATGTATAGATGGAGACCGTGTACTGCAACATTAATATTACCTGCAGCACTACCTGTGGAACGGTACGCGTGGTGCGGCGGCGGCGGCGGCGGCAACATCGGAGGGGGGCCGGCGGCCTGGTAAAAACTCGCACGACAGGTCGCCGGCGAGCGACGACTACCGCCCCGTCGTCAGTCTACGGGGCACACCGTCCGCAATCGCGTCTCGTTCTCCGCAGTTCGTTTTCTGTTRATTTGTGATTTCGTCGCGTTTTCGTGTCGCGCGTTCCACGGGTGCCGAAATATCGCGTACCTATTTGTGAGCCGCATATATCGTCCGTCGCGTTTCCGATAGGTWTACACCGGGTGCGCGYGCAACCCGTGATGTGAAAGACGGTCACCGACGAGCGTCGTCTAATCGCGTTACAGGGCATGTGAAATAAATTTATAAACCACGGCGGGCGCACACACGAATATCTTATTTAAACGAAAAAGTGGACACGACGCATCGCACCGGCGGTTTCGCGAAGAGTAGTAGGTAGCCGATCGTCGAACGGTAGTGCGCGAGGTCCGTCGGCCGCCGCCATGAGCATGATGATGATGATGAGACCGTCCGACTCAACGCCCATCTGTCGGTGCCGGGTCCTGTACCTGGGATCGGCCGTACCGCATATCACCAAGGACGGGCTGCAGGGCATACAGGAGCCCCTCAAGGAGCTGTAYCCGGAACAGGGGGCCCTGGGCGCCCGAGGCATCGACTCTTGGCTGAGCGTTTGGAGCAACGGCCTGTTGCTGGAGAATGTGGATGAGAACCACAAGAAGATCACTCGGTTCTTCCCGATCGAGTCGCTGCACTACTGTGCCGCGGTCCGGTTCGTGCTGGTGCCCGAGAAGTCTAATGGGTCGTCGCAGCCGCGATTCCTGCCGCTGGACTCTCCGTTTGCCCGGTCCCCGAACCCCAACCACCCGCCACTGTTTGCGGCCATACTGCGCCGGACTTCCGGAATCAAGGTACTCGAGTGTCACACATTCATATGCAAGCGCGAGATGGCCGCCAACGCGTTGGTTCGGTGCTGTTTCCACGCGTACGCCGATTCGTCTTACGCCAAACAATCGGACGGCGGTGGCGCGAACGGTACTACCAACGGTGCCGGTGGCAGCAGCATATACGGCACGGTGCGGACCAACAGGTCGGTGGGCAACAATACGATCGAGAAGGTGGAGGGTTGGCGTCGCATGACCAACGGCGGCGGGGCGGCCGGCAGCACGCTGACGCTCAACAGCGCACACTCGAACGGCATCACCATGCTGGAGGCGTCCACGAATTCCATCGACGACCTKTCCGAGTGCAACGGTGACGAGAATCACAAAGTGTGGGTGGGTAGCACCAAAGACATATCGGAAAAAGAAGACCTGTACGGCGCCGGAAACACGATGCGCAGCTCGCGATCGAGCAGGCCTAGACAATTGGTCGGAGGCGCCCCACCACCTCCACCGCCACCGCCTCCGGTCAGGGACGACAGCAATAAGTCAGCGTCGAAGAAAGCCAAGGAGAGGCCGCGCCGGAAGAGAACRCCGACCGGCGGAAGTCGCGAAGACCTATACGCGCCATCAATGAACGGTTCGATCATGAGATCTGTACACGGCGGCCGGAGTTCGGTATCGCTCAACGGCACCATGGCAAGCCGGGGACCGCCTAGAGGGTTCATGCAATATCAGCAGCCTCCGCCACCGCCACCGCCCAACCACATATACTCCAACGGTGGGGGAGGCACCATGCTCAGGCCCGTCAACGGCTATCACCCGCATCCGCCACACCAGCCGCATCACCACCATCCAGGAATGATGCAGCCGCCGCCTCCGCCGCCCATCATGATGGTGCCCACCACATTGCCACATCCCAAGAAAATGCACAAGATGAAGCCAGGCATGATCCCGGTACCCAGACCGGGCATGATTCCAGCAAACTACATGCCTGTGCCTATGTACATGCACACCGGTAAAAAGTCCAAGAATGGAGTACCCGTGCCTGTGCCGATGGCCATGGAAGAACCGATATACATGCCTTCCGCSCGACCGCTGAGCCCAGTCGCGTCCTATCAACCCGAGCACTTCCCACACGAAGCGTACCTAATGCAGCAGTACGCCAACAGCATCAATCACATGAACAACAACAACATCAACAATAACGGGCCGGCACCGAAAAACAAGAAGGGCAAAAAGGACAAGAAATCCAAGGACTCGGTCAACGGGATGATGCCACCGCTGATGGTGCCGCAGTTGATGGTCAACGGCGGCGCTGGCGGAGGCGGAATGATGATGATGCAACAGCACCAGCATCATCAACCRCCGCCACCGCCGGCTGGACCTCCGCAGATGGCCGTCAACGGTCACAGGGTCAACGGCAACGGCATGATGTCGGCGGGACACGACGACATGACGGACGACACGGAGGACTCGGTGTACAGTACCGGAATATACCGGCGGAAGGGTCACCTCAACGAGCGGGCGTTCTCGTACTCGATCCGGCAAGAGCACCGGTCACGGTCGTACGGATCGCTGGCCAACCTCAAGTTCGCCGCGCCGCCAATCGTGCCGAACGGCGTGGATGGAGTGCCGAACAAGGTGGACATCAAGAAGGAACGGGAGATCATGCAGATGATGCAGGATCTGGAGCTGTCGGGAGATGAGCTGGACCGCGCCGACCAGGTGGTGCACCACCAGAAACAGAGCAACAACGTGGCGCATCATCAGAGGCCCGTCAAGACGAAGCGATAACCACCACTACGATATTATTGACGTTACAGCGGACCGGAACCACGACCGCMTGCAGGTAAATAACAATTAGCAGTTACATATTATCTTATTTTATAATTTTTAAAAATATATCTTATCGTTTTACGATCTACTTTGTCGTCGGTGGATAGGATTTTATATTATATGAAGCTTCCCTCGTACTTAATTATTAATTATAAGTTATAACCATCTTAATCGCCGCCGCCGGCAAGAATATTAACCGGGTAATAAACTAATTAATATTAATATTAATGTAATCAGGCCTTRGAATTYAAAAGTGTGAGCTTTGACAATTCATTTTATATATAAGTATTTATAATGTACTCGTATGTTCATTGTTAGTTTTCGAGATATTATAATGTTAGGCTAAAATCTCAATAATAAAAATAATATATTATTATCGTGCACCGACCCGTCGCCCACCTCACCGTGATAATATAGTATAGCCTTAACGATCATGTATTGTCCTTTCCGATGTTGTACGTCTATTTTTCTTCCGGAGCGAAACCCCGATTCTATAAGGAAGGCTTTATAATATGCACGCGCGTGTGTCGATATAATATCATAATCATATTTTATTGTAGTTTTAAAATGTATATTATGTAGCCCCGAGTCACGACACTCTGTCGTTTCGGTAATAATAAATTAATGTTGATTTCGAAATGCGAATATTCGATTACAAATGCGCACATCATGTGAGCAAAATATATTAGGTGCGCGTTATATATGGAAATCGCTACTTTGGGTTGATATTGCAGAAACGCGAGTAATAATCGTTCAACTCTGAGACACAATAAMAAACCTTAATTACTACTGCATGTCATAATAAACAATAATACATAATAATTTTCCATATTGTGTGTATAGTACATCATTAGACAATAACTGTTGTGAGAACTTGAGAGTTTTGACTTCTCGATTTTTCAAAATTGTATCGATAATAAATAATAATTATTATATACGCTAAATTAGACGACAGTTTGGATGATTAAGTAATATTTTATTTCGGATTGACAATATATTTTATCATTCGGTATTAAATCTTCTTCAAATATATTTTTTCTTTTACATTCCTATGCAATGTTAGTGGTAGTATTTAGTGCTTCTAATATAGTAATTTCTACCATGATAATTATATTTACTAAAAAAAAGTATAGGTACGTTTATATTGGCAGATCATGTTTTAAGTAAATAAAATCTCATAAAGTATGGTAAAAATAATSGAATGTGAGGTATTAATAAATATTATGAATAGTAGTGAACAGTAAATCAATGGTAAATACCACATGATATTTAAATAATAAATATACTTACCTACCTATTTAAAAAAAATAGTATGAAAATAATAATATATTAGGAAACCTTAATATATTTRAAAAGTATATAGAGAACGTAAATTTAGTTTGTGTTTACATAATAATACATATTTTATGTAACTCGTAACGAAAATCCACTTAAAAAAATCTTGATAATTAGCTAATTAGTGTTGGAAACTGGATACAGATGAATTAATTTATGTTTGCGTGACTTTAAGATATAGCATAAGTAAGGTAAATATAGTTATAATTTAGTGTAAAGTAAACATAAATAACATTAAAGCACTCTACCAAAAAGTAAAAACGAAATAATTACAACAATTTAGGCTTAATGTATACATTTTGCGTACAATACTGTGTAGGTATACTGTACAGCATCTTAGCTGTTTACCTATACTTTTAATATCAACTATCACTTATTACGGTTACTGGGTATGTTATGTAAGTTTATAATATAGAATATGTGCATTGTGCATCCCACATTTACTACGGGCGAAAACGACAAGTTATAAATTATAAAGGGTTATCGAGAATATCGACTGCAACTGTAGTGGTTCAACGAAATAAATGTCGTTTATAAATGGTACACGATTTTGCAACTTACGAATGCGGAATGAGAACCTATTACGTTGGTACCTATTATTATTGTTAATCAATTTACCGCGATTTCGCCGACTGTTGACATTGCAGGCTATATATATATATATATACAAATTATCGTATTATTATGCACTAAATAGGCTCGTTCGTATTTCGCTTTGATATCACAAATAATACGTAATTATCATAGTAATAGAATAAAATGCACCGTGCCCGTTTCGTGTGAAAAATAAACAACAAAAAATATAAATAATTTAAAAAAAGAACGTAAAYACATTTTTAAGCCTTTTTTATCGCAACGACAATAATAATACGACGGTCGTATCAAAAGCAAACATATATATTAGCGTTGCGGCGTGGTTACTGCGTAGGAACATATGGTATACGGTAAGTGGCGTGTTTTGAAAGTGCGCGACTGCAGAAGCATATCTCTGCGCGTTCGAATAAATACATTAGGCGTAAAGGTATATTTATAATATCATATTATGTATAGACAGTTATGTAACATTCGGTAGTTATAATAAATCTCTTACCGTCGTGTCGCGTTAAATAATTGTGCATAATACGACGGCTAGCAACGTAGTTTGGCCTTATAATGTATAACAATTTTAAACGTATTACCTTCTGTTACGCGTCGCGTGTCGCACGGTGGGAGCGTAAACGCGTAATTCTGTGCCCACGACAGACGCRAACGGTGGTAGTCATCTATATGACTATATCATATTATTATTATTGTTGTGTAGGTACGTAAAGTATAGAACATGTATGTATACTACGCAATGTGGTGGATACCGTAGACATACCCACCTAGGGTAATATACCTGCCCACGCGTGTACATAGTTGCGAATATATAAATACCTAGGTATTATTATATCGTTTTGCGGTTTGTAAAATATAATATATATACCATTCCTGTAAGTTTGGTTTTGAAGGGCYGCCGCGTGTGAACCGACAACATACCGTATAACCACAAACCGTTCGTACCTGTAATAATACAACGCGTTGGACGCTATTACGCGTCTTCGTTGTGCACTTGTGCAGGCACAGTAAAACGTATATATAGATACGATAAATAAATAAATAAACATTTTATRAACGRGTGGCTTCTTTTTGGCTGTTTTTCCGATTTATACGTTCAACTGGTAMAAGCCATGTTATTTAGAAGCCCGCTCTTAAAGCATATCATACATAAAGCGTCGTGTGTATGTGTGTKTGTGTGTGTGAATATAATAATAAATTCGACGGTGTCATGGGTTTTAAAGTGGTCGCTCCGGAATGCGTACCAGCATTCTTACAGCAGACGGCGGTCGCAGAGGCGTGGCGGTCAGATAGGTGGATCTGGTGGGATACCTACAATCTACATAGTATATTATAATATAATAAAATATAATAACACGACAACGACGTCAGCGGCGGTGTAAGGCAATGAGATAGGTCTTGGTACAAATCCAATATTTTTCCTACGGTCTGAAACTCCTGAACAGTTTATTCTCCGAAACAATTCCTACAGTCAAATCTATTGACCAGCAGATGCGTGTTTGTGCTGCAGTTATATTACTAACCCTTCGGATCAAAACCACGTCGATCGTAGGTACACGAATATTTGTTAAACTAAATATTAAATTAAATTTATTGTTGTTTAGCTAAGTAGATGCAACCGACCCATCGAAGAAAGTATCGGCGAGTATAGCTAGGCTATATTGTACACTGCTTGAAATGACACTGATTCCGCGGACTGGTTTTATATCTTGGTATAATACTAGCTATATTAGCTATCTCGCAACTGATGGAGCTATATAGAAATGTTAAGAGAATTTAGTACATTAAATCGTGTTACGATATAATACACAGATCTACAAAGATTTCTAAACAGTTATTAAAATTCCATTATCAAATGAAAGTGCTGTACGCGCTGTMTAAGGCACGCGAGTTCATTTCAATATCGACGCTGTTGCCGCTCGTCGGCTTTGTTATTGCCCGACAGACGTATGCAAAAATTTTACTACCTGATCGAAATGCAGTCAAATGGTGAGGCATTGTGTTGTAAAGTTTAAATCACAATCAAACAGACCATTAAATTGTCTGGCATCCACCACCACGGTCAAATACAACCGACGCGGTTGTCGGCCAAACAAAAAGCATTATAACATCACCAGTGGAAACCGAACAGAAATTAAAAGACAAGACGATGAGTCCTATACATAGTATCTAATACTTATAATGTGTGTATACAGAGAAATGCGTGTTACAGTAAAATGATAATTATCGCGGCCGCTGTATAGCGCAGTCAAACGTGAATATTGATGACCATCCAACAAGTAAAATATAAAACCACAGGTGACCCCAAAACCGGCAACCTGTCGAGTATAGGAGCCCCCGCGGGGGCTAAGTTCCGACTTTCCTATGCAGTGCCCTCTTGTGCCACTTTCGTGGTGTAGTCGCCGCCCTTCCCTTTCCTCATCCGCAGTAGTTTATATATACATACACGCGCTCTATAAATATATTAATATTCTAAACTCTTCACAACGCGTCTAATGCACGAATCGACTTTAGTTAAGCATCCGCGTAAAATTAATCAATGACCGTTTATAATATGTTCACATCCGTTACAATTGTGTCAGTGGACCTATTATTTGATGGTAAACGATTTTCGGTCGCACTTGAACGATTTATCTGCCTACTACAGCACGCACTATATACACGTCGCGCAATGATGTAATTATTAAAAGATTTTTAATTTTTAATGCCAAAATCAATAATACTCCCTATATGTGCACCCCCATCCGCTATTTACAGGATATTTTAAAATCGAACTTGATAAACGTGTTATAATTATAAAATTGGATTTTTTTTTAATTTTAAAATTTGTTAAATACATTTTTAATTCAATAGAAACATAATTTTTCACTTTTATTTTTCATCTGCGTGTTATAAATTATTTGACTATGTTTTATATTCCTATACTTACATTAAAATGCCGTCCAACAATCTATAGGGTGTAGAACAATAAATGAAATATTCACAATAATTCGAAAAAAAAAATGATTTATATGTCTTACTATAAGATTTACCCCCTCCACACCCACCATAATTATACAGGACATTTACGTCACGCGTATA